AGATGTGTATAAGAGACAAGTATATTGTATTGGTTTATTGCTGTTTCTGAGCAGTATATTGTATTGGTTTATTGTTGCCACTGAGCAGTATATTGTATTGGTTTATTGCTGTTTCTGAGCAGTATATTGTATTGGTTTATTGTTGCCACTGAGCCGTATATTGTATTGGTTTATTGCTGTTTCTGAGCAGTATATTGTATTGGTTTATTGTTGCCACTGAGCCGTATATTGTATTGGTTTATTGTTGTTTCTGAGCAGTATATTGTATTGGTATGGCGATGGACATACGCTAGCCCCATGCCTCAGCTGGTGGATGTTGCAAGAAGACGGTGGATACGAAGACGCAAAAGGATTGTGGATCTTAATAACAGCGAAGTTTTGCTGGATTCTGTAGACATAAGTGCCAACGAGGCGTTCATTTGGTAAAGTTTTCTCGAACATGGTTTTCGTTGCCGTAGTCAATTACATTATTGGTGAGTTACAGTAATTTTTCGTTGATCGTCACATTAATTTTTCGTCGATTAAGTGCAGCACGGATAAGAAAAGTTTAAATGTGTGCCTTTCAAATAGGAAAAGTTATCGCTGCGACCGAAATTAACCAGCTTTTATATAAAGCATGATAATTTCAGTGCGTGAGAAGGATAAACTAAAGCAAAACTCCTTGAACTTTTGTGCGAAGTAAACAAAAGAAAGGAATGGCTTCAATCACCGAACTTCTCGCGTGACAAACTTGCGTCCACCATAGCAGGTCTCGAAAGTCCACTCGTGAGTCATGATAAGCGTATCATTTACGCTCATTTCATTGTGTAAAGCAAATATAATGTTCATAAATTTTTCATCACGGTGCATTATATGTATAGTGCAATACAACTGCTGTAAAATCGAAGCCTAATTAAAGGCACAAGCGTTCAGAAGTCACCACAGATCACGTAAAGGCACACAAAATGAGTTCTTTATACGTCACTAGTAGCAACACCTACATTGTTTCTACCATGCTTCATTATTAACCGTGTCTTCATTGTTTCATCATTTAGTAACACCTTCACTGTAACGGTCATACGTTAAAACTGGCAAGCAATACATTCATTTTCTTAACACATCCGTCATTTCTGGCCATTCCACTGAAGTGTGGAACTTGATATTGCAAATTTTCTTTCAATATTGAGATTTTCATTGAGTTTTTCAGTGAAATTTTCGGTGAGCTTTTCAGTGAGATTTTCAGTGAAATTTTCGGTGAAATTTTCAGTGAGCTTTTCAGTGAGATTTTCAGCGAGATTTTCTGTGAAATTTTCAGTGAGCTTTAAGGAGAATATCAATGAAGAACTTCCGGGTCACAGCTGCCTACAAAAGGAAGAAGATAAGGCGATGTGTCGGTGTTATTTATGACACTATGGTGTTATACCACTAAGGTGTTAGGGCACTATATGGTGTCAGGACACTGTGGTGTTAGGGCACTATGGTGAGGCAGATGTGAATCCTTAAGTCTAGAGGTGAAGGACCATTTTTTTGGGCCGATGAACCTGCAAAAAAAAAACAGATAAATTAGCAGATAAAATGGTGCATTCAGAGACAAAAAACTGACAGAGACGTGTTCAGAACAATAACGTGACAGAGACATCTTGCTTTAAAACTGACGTTCCCGCGACGTAGTTTAGTTCAGATCAATTATCAAGACTTGTTGATAATTAATTGTTTACTTGTATGCACTTGTCCGACAGTATATAGGCATAGAATATATTCAGGAGATAAAAATGATAAGCTTATAATTTATATTACCTATAGTATATTATACATTATTGCAAGTACATGGCATGCATTCACGTTCACTAACTGGGTTGAAAACTTGCGTTCCGCCATCGCCGTGTGCAATTTGTAATTTTTGAAAAAATTACAAAATCTTTTGGAAAATTTTTAGAACGCAATTTTCCCCAGGCGCAGGCACGTCAAATAAAAAAATGTGAATAATCAATGAAATTAACGGCTATACGTTCTTAATTCATCACTGGCATTATATATTCATATGTTGAACATTTAAATTTAATCCCTATTTTCTTTTAATATTTGCATTTTTATGCAAAATCTTTCTCACGGTTCCAGGTTAATTAAAACTTTACATTCAAAATCAGTAAATCCCTCCAAAATTTTCTGTATTTCATCTTCGTCTAGTCATTTTATAACTGCGTTCATTATCTTTCACGATCTTATTCTTCTGTCGTAAACTATGTTAAGTTACTCGCTTTAGAATTCTCACTATCTTATTCTTCTACCATAAACTATGTTAAGATACTCGCTTTAGAATGTTCACTATCTTATTCTTCTACCATAAACTATGTTAAGTTACTTGCTTTTGAATGTTCACGATCTTATTCTTCTACCATAAATTATTTTAAGTTACTCGTTGAAGTTAGAGTTAAGTTATCTATACTTAGTTAAGGAAGTGCCTATATATATATATATATATAGGGTGTCGCACGAAACAGAAATATTTTAAAAACTAAAAACTTCGGTAAAATGACTGCCACTACAGCGGCAACCACAATTTGCTTCCGCCATTTCTCCTCTAAATTTTCCTTTTAGTTTATTTCAATGTAATTTCGGTACCTGATACGGCATTCATTTTGATATGCATTATTCTATATTATATATAAATATATCTATATTATATATAAATGTTTCAAGGACTACTACACACAGGACATGCATAGCCTATGTCCAGCCTCTGCTAGCAGAGGCGATCGCCTACACTATGAAAATGCTGGTGTTTTAGTGGCATCAACAAATGATATGCCCATAATTGTTTCATACAATAGACATTGTAATACTATTGTATGAAACAATTATGGGCATATCATTTGTTGATGCCACTAAAACAACAGCATTTTCATAGTGTAGGCGATCGCCTCTGCTAGCAGAGGCTGGACATAGGCTATGCATGTCCTGTGTGTAGTAGTCCTTGAAATGTTTCTATATACTAATTTACCTTCTACTATGTAGTCTACTATACGGCAGGGTGGCCCACAGGTTACAGTTCAGAATATATCAAAATTGGAGCAGTGAGTTGTTGTTTCGAAACCCCAGTAAGCTGTAAGAACTATGCGATGGCATGAGTAGGCGACAAGCTATAATTGACCTGCCAACGCTTGCATAAATGCTACAGTTATTAGTAGCATTCAGGATGGGTTTACGCTTTCATTTTCCTGGTCATTCATAGTACATTCTTAATTACCTTCATTTGTACACCAGCATCATATGTACACCTCATGACCAGCATCATATGTACACCTCATGACCAGCATCATATGTACACCTCATGACCAGCATCATATGTACACCTCATGACCAGCATCATGTGTACACCTCATGACCAGCATCATATGTACACCTCATGACCAGCATCATATGTACACCCTTCATTATGTACAAACATTTCTCCGTGTCTCACATTTAATATCAGTACAGACAAGCTTAGCACAATTGCGATGTAACACGACGATCATGCGCCACTGAAGTAAATGATGGGTCATGGTGTCCAAAAACTGACACACTTTCTGCCCGTAGCAATGATACGCCTTTTACAGTGGGTCACGATGACTCACAGAAAGAATAGAAGTGTCGGCGTTGAAGACATAGGCCCATGGCAATATTATTATTACAAGAATATTTGGACAAAATCTCGCTCACTTCTCTGAGCGTGACGGTTATAGTTAAAAAATTGCAATAGACATAATTCCAGCGGTGGCAGCTATAAAAAAATACGGCAAATACTTTCTTGAACTAAAACTGAATTGGAGGCACGAAGAGCAGCAATGCTCACCATCGTCGTCACCTTCACGACCACGCAGCCGCCAGCAAGCCAGCGGTGACTCATGCCACACGCACACGGCGTCCACGCACACGGCGTCTACGCACACGGCGTCCACGCACACGGCGTCCACGCACACATGGGGGTCCCAGACATACACGGCGTACACGCACACGGCGTCCACGCACACATGGGGGTCCCAGACATACACGGCGTACACGCACACGGCGTCCACGCACACATGGGGGTCCCAGACATACACGGCGTACACGCACACGGCGTCCACGCACACATGGGGGTCCCAGACATACACGGCGTACACGCACACGGCGTCCACGCACACATGGGGGTCCCAGACATACACGGCGTACACGCACACGGCGTCCACGCACACATGGGGGTCCCAGACATACACGGCGTACACGCACACGGCGTCCACGCACACATGGGGGTCCCAGACATACACGGCGTACACGCACACGGCGTCCACGCACACATGGGGGTCCCAGACATACACGGCGTACACGCACACGGCGTCCACGCACACATGGGGGTCCCAGACATACACGGCGTACACGCACACGGCGTCCACGCACACATGGGGGTCCCAGACATACACGGCGTACACGCACACGGCGTCCACGCACACATGGGGGTCCCAGACATACACGGCGTACACGCACACGGCGTCCACGCACACATGGGGGTCCCAGACATACACGGCGTACACGCACACGGCGTCCACGCACACATGGGGGTCCCAGACATACACGGCGTACACGCACACGGCGTCCACGCACACATGGGGGTCCCAGACATACACGGCGTACACGCACACGGCGTCCACGCACACATGGGGGTCCCAGACATACACGGCGTACACGCACACGGCGTCCACGCACACATGGGGGTCCCAGACATACACGGCGTACACGCACACGGCGTCCACGCACACATGGGGGTCCCAGACATACACGGCGTACACGCACACGGCGTCCACGCACACATGGGGGTCCCAGACATACACGGCGTACACGCACACGGCGTCCACGCACACATGGGGGTCCCAGACATACACGGCGTACACGCACACGGCGTCCACGCACACATGGGGGTCCCAGACATACACGGCGTACACGCACACGGCGTCCACGCACACATGGGGGTCCCAGACATACACGGCGTACACGCACACGGCGTCCACGCACACATGGGGGTCCCAGACATACACGGCGTACACGCACACGGCGTCCACGCACACATGGGGGTCCCAGACATACACGGCGTACACGCACACGGCGTCCACGCACACATGGGGGTCCCAGACATACACGGCGTACACGCACACGGCGTCCACGCACACATGGGGGTCCCAGACATACACGGCGTACACGCACACGGCGTCCACGCACACATGGGGGTCCCAGACATACACGGCGTACACGCACACGGCGTCCACGCACACATGGGGGTCCCAGACATACACGGCGTACACGCACACGGCGTCCACGCACACATGGGGGTCCCAGACATACACGGCGTACACGCACACGGCGTCCACGCACACATGGGGGTCCCAGACATACACGGCGTACACGCACACGGCGTCCACGCACACATGGGGGTCCCAGACATACACGGCGTACACGCACACGGCGTCCACGCACACATGGGGGTCCCAGACATACACGGCGTACACGCACACGGCGTCCACGCACACATGGGGGTCCCAGACATACACGGCNGTCATTCATGCGTCGGGAGGAGCGTCATTCATTATTCAACTGCTGGATGATGGCCGACATTCACGAAGGCCGGTCACAATATGGCGGGCTTTCGTTCATTCATGCAAAGGTCGCAGCAATGAAAAAATTCCAATAGTTCTTATATAGTAGCCTGTTTATTATAGCAATTATTATCATTGTTATTATTATTATTATTTCAATTATTATTACACTACGAAGCGATTGTCGCGGCGTCTGGTTCAAACGAACTTCCGGTGCAAGTAACTTATACGTTTGATAACGAAAGAAAAATATTGAAAACCATCAACTGGGGTGACTTCTGCCACCACTACAACCGAAAACAAATGAAATAAATAATATATAAAAAATATATTATAAAATAATAAACGTTGGCCAAATGACTGGGGAGACTTTGACCAATGTTTATTATTTTGTTTTGCTAACATTTGTTTCTGTTGTAGGTTGGCCGAAGTGACCCCAGTTGACGTAACCTTATAAACCTATCGGCCAACTAGTGCTGCTTATCTATGTTGTTGTTGATATTATAATTAATTTGGCATTCATTTCCATCACAGTCAACCAACGCGCTGCCAGTCCCGCCACAGTCAACCAACGCGCTGTCAGTCCCGCCACAGTCAACTAACGCGCTGTCAGTCCCGCCACAGTCAACCATCGCGCTGCCAGTCCCGCCACAGTCAACCAACGCGCTGCCAGTCCCGCCACCTGTCTCTTATACACATCTAGATGTGTATAAGAGACAGGAGCGCAACAGCAACAGCCCAACAGCAGGAGCACAACAGCAACAGCCCAACAGCNGTCTCACTCAGCTGGCTGTTGCCGCGTCTCACTCAGCTGGCTGTTGCCGCGTCCCACTCAGCTGGCTGTTGCCGCGTCCCACTCAGCTGGCTGTTGCCGCGTCCCACTCAGCTGGCTGTTGCCGCGTCTCACTCAGCTGGCTGTTGCCGCGTCTCAC